GGCCGCATCTCTATTGAGAAGCCGATACAGGAACCATTTGATGTACAGAGGAATAATGATTCAGAAACAGTACAGGCTACTGGTGATTTCATACAAACGAGGTCTGTATAGGAAACCTCCCGTATGTTACCGCATAGTAATAACCCTGACCCCCAGCCATGTGTACCCTGCACACTCCACGCTGTATACAGCCGAGCTCTCAGCACACACGATACATTGCAAAAGATAAACGGACCCACACCGTACCCCTCTCCAGCACAAGGAGCCGCCATACCCAATAGATCCAGCACAATGAACCGCCATACCCAGTAGAACACCTTGCACTTATCCCGCACTCACCATGTTCGGATCCGTCAATGAATTCCAATCAACCGTACTCTAAACCGGAAACGCTCTCGCACGCTTCCGCCGGAAATGAGGTCACGCGCTCTTCAACTTTTGAGACTGGAGGATGTCCGTATAGCTTTACCGGAAGTGCCTTGTTCGTTGTTTGTACTGAGAGAGTGTTGGAGATAGATTTATTTTGTTATCTATCTTATCTAGAGCCTAAACTGAGGGCAAATTATATAACAATGCTGTGTGCTTAGGATATATGTTAGGGTATATGGGGAATTATGTGTATAAAGATTGTACACTGGGGGGTGTCCTATACACTGGGGGGTTATGTGTATAAAGATTTGTGTACAGACTGTACAGTGGAGGAATTCTTTGTATACAGACTGTGCACTGGGGGAGAGGTGTTCAATGTATACAGGTTGTACACTGTGGCGATATCCTTTGTATACAGGCTACACAGAGGGGTGGTCAATGTATACAGGCTGTACACTGGGGGATGGGGGGTATCTTTTGTATACAGGCTGTACACTAAAGGGGGAGGGGTGTTCTACGTATATAGATTATACACTGGATTTAGATCTAAATTCCGTCTGCTCAAGTTTTGATAAATCCTCTCCATGGTGCTTTTATTACTTTGTCTTAGAAGAGGAGCACACTCCTTCCATCTATCTCCATGCCTTGTATCACAATCCTACCCCTTAGGCACAACCAGGGACTATTACCATTTTGTCCTGAAGAGAAATGCACCGGGGCCCTTCAGTTAATGGTACAGCTCTTACTTGAGAAAGGGTCAAATCATGACCCGAAATGTAGCTATGCTGGAACTGGTGCTTCTGGTATTACACGACTAAGATGATGTAGAGTCTACTTTTTAGGTTTTTTTCTCTATTGTAGAATAAAAGGCACAATAATTATAAGACTTCTGTGCAGATCTCTTCTGAATAGTACTTTTGGTGCTATTTCCTTTTCTTATGAATAAAACAATGTATTTTTAAAGCCAACTCCAGCCTATGAAATAATAAAATAAACATGTCTCTGGAAATGTTAAAATAAAAAAACAGCTGCAATACTCACCCTATCTCTGGCGCTATCTACCGCAGTAGGTCCTCTACACTACCAGTTGGTGTAAAGCTGGCCATACACCTATAGATTATGTGCAGATTTTCTATGGTCAGATGGAAAAAGTGCCACAGATTCCTCCATCTACGCTAAACTGTGTGGAGGGAGGAATCTCCCACTGGGCCAAGCTTTAGTATCTTGGCAGTCAGCCCTGCTGGCTGTCAAAATACCTCAACAATCTGATTGGATGCTGGCATTGTTCAGGTATTTTGAGAGCCAGCGGGGCTGACTAGCAAGATACTGAAGCTTGGCCCAGTGGAAGATTCCTCCATCCACACAGTTTAGTGTACATGGAGGAATCTGTTGCACTTTTTCCATCTGACCATAGAAAATCTGCAGATAATTGTAAGGTGTATGGCCAGCTTTAGCTTCAGATTCAGTTTGAAGCTGCTTTGGCTCTGTGTACATATGGGTCTTTCCTGGAAATCCATTTTAAAGCAGAATGGGGAAAACACATTTTTATTCTTTTTTTTGTTTAATATATTTTTATTAATAATTTCACATAAACAAAATATTTTACATATTCCAAAAAAGACATACAAACCTCCTTATTACATTATATACTAAATCCAAGTCGAGCTTCTACAGTATATATATTCTCTATACTTATTCATCTATACTTTTATATCACCTTACTAGTGCTTCCTTTTCCTTATCTTATCTCTTTGTTCCTCTATGTTCTATTACCATCAATTCCCCGATAACTTCTCTCTTCTTACGTACTTTGGCCTATTCTCACATCATCAAATGGGGGGGAGCAATCCTTTAACCTAAATATACTATGCATATTCATGTGCCCTTACCCTGTTCTTCTACAATTTCCTTTTAAATATACAAACATGTCCTCTCACCAACACATTACAAACTTCCACTCCTCTCTATCCCTTCCCCGTGCTCCTATCCCTTTCTCTCCCCCTATGTGATCATATAACTTTTATATATCATGTGAACTCAATTGCCTCAAAAACTGCAATAATCAGTCCAATAACCAAATATGTACCCTTTCCCTCCATCCATTTTCTTCACCTTCCCCCTCCTCCCTTTATAAGATTAACTACCCCCTAATGATGTAATCCTCATTAACCCATACGCCCATTTCCTTAGATGAATATCTCTTAAATCCTAAATATATTATATCCGTGCTCAACCCTCGCTTATCTGTCCTTTGGACGTATTTATATCTTCCCCCTTTCAACCTTCCATTTAGCATACAATTACCCTTTCAAAACTGATTTTCACAGTCGGATACTATAATGCCCAAAGATAAAAATGAATCCATTCGTGGTAATGTTGTGGTAAACAACCTGCTTCACTATTTATAATGGTCTGGCCCTCTAGCAACATCAACGTGTAATTATAGCTAATTTGCCTACAAACGTCAGGTGGTCATAATAATCTGGCAACTCAGTGTATGTTTACCTTTAGGGGGATTCTATATACCTATTGATACTTAAATTAATATTTTACTGGCATTTACCTGTGGGGATTACCCACCACTGTGCCTATGCACCTCCACTCTAACCCTCTTCGCCAGAATCTTGAATTCCTTGAGTTTCTATATAATTTCCACCTTTCCCATACTTCTTCACAGTTATCCACCCTATCTGCATCTTCCATCCTTAATCCTTCCATTTACAGTATCTCACAGAAGTGAGTGCACCCCTCACATTTTTGGAAATATTTTATGATATCATTTCATGTGACGACACAGAAGAAATGACACTTTGCTACAATGTAAAGTAGTTAGTGTACAGCTTGTATATCAGTGTACATTTGCTGTCCCCTCAAAATAACTCAACACACAGCCATTAATGTCTAAACCGCTGGCAACAAAAGTGAGTACACCCTTAAGTGAAAATGTCCAAATTGGGCCCAATTAGCCATTTTCCCTCCCCGGTGTCATGTGACTCATTAGTGTTACAAGGTCTCAGGTGTGAATGGGAGCAGGTGTGTTAAATTTGGTGTTATCGCTCTCACTCTCTCATACTGGTCACTGGAAGTTCAACATGGCACCTCATTGCAAAGAACTCTCTGAGGATCTGAAAAAAAAAGAATTGTTGCGATACATAAAGATGGCCTAGGCTATAAGAAGATTGCCAAGACCCTGAAACTGAGCTGCAGCACAGTGGCAAAGACCATACAGTGGTTTAACAGGACAGGTTCCACTCAGAACAGAAGTTGAGTGCACGTGCTCAGCGTCATATCCAGAGGTTGTCTTTGGAAAATAGACGCATGAGTGCTGCCAACATTGCTGCAGAGGTTGAAGGGGTGGGGGGTCTGCCTGTCTGTGCTCAGACTGTATGCCGCACACTGCATCAAATTGGTCTGCATGTCCGTCGTCCCAGAAGGAAGCCTGAAGACAAGCAGACTAAGGACACGGATTACTGGAACCATGTCCTGTGGTCTGATGAGACTAAGATAAACTTATTTGTTTCAGATGGTGTCAAACGTGTGTGGCGGCAACCAGGTGAGGAGTACAAAGACAAGTGTGTCTTGCCTACAGTCAAGCATGGTGGTGGGAGTGTCATGGTCTGGGGCTGCATGAGTGCTGCCGGCACTGGGGAGCTACAGTTCATTGAGGGAACCATGAATGCCACCATGTACTGTGACAGACTGCAGCAGAGCATGATCCCCTCCCTGCGGAGACTGGGCCGCAGGGCAGTATTCCAATATGGTAACGACCCCAAACACACCTCCAAGACAACCATTGCCTTGCTAAAGAAGCTGAGGGTAAAGGTGATGGACTGGTCAAGCATGTCTCCAGACCTAAACCCTATTGAGCATCTGTGGGGCATCCTCAAACGGAAGGTGGAGGAGCGCAAAGTCTCTAACATCCACCAGCTCCGTGATGTCGTCATGGAGGAGTGGAAGAGGACTCCAGTGGAAACCTGTGAAGCTTTGGTGAACTCCATGCCCCAGAGGGTTAAGGCAGTGCTGGAAAATAATGGTGGCCACCCAAAATATGGACACTTTGGACCCAATTTAGACATTTTCACTTAGGGGTGTACTTACTTTTATTGCCAGTGGTTTAGACATTAATGACTGTGTGTTGAGTAATTTTGAGGGGACAGCAAATGTACACTGATATACATGCTGTACACTAACTACTTTACATTGTAGCAAAGTGTCATTTCTTCTGTGTCGTCACATGAAATGATATAATAAAATATTTACAAAAATGTGAGGGGTGTACTCACTTCTGTACCTTATCTCCATTATACTTCCCTAACTCTAGGGTTGGTGGGTCTATAGATTTTTAGCAGCGGGAGATGCTAACTCTAGCCGCAGCCAGAAAAGATCTTAAAATATCCTTTCTTATACTTTTAATAGATCCGGAAAGCAGTGATAATGGTGCTATCAAGGGACTACCCTCTATACATGATACCTCCATAGAGCGGTACACCTCAACCACTGCTTCCCAGAAAGGTGGTACTCTAGGACAGCTCCACCAAATATGCAGATACGTTCCCTCCTCTCTAATACATCTCTAGCATCTATCAGACCAATCCAAACCTATATGTCGTAGCCCTTCAGGGCACCGATACCATCTGGACAATATTTTATAATTCTTTTCCTGATAAAATGAGGAGATGACAGATGCGTGTCATTGTAGATATTCTTACCCATTCTTGCTCTGACAGTACTCTCCCCATATCTCGTTTCCATCTTTTCATAAAATGTGTATGTCCTATTGCCTCTTGCTCCCTCATAAGGCCATACCATACTGATAAAGGATGTTCGATAAGTGTACTTGATGTACATAGCTTTTCAAACGGGGTCAGAGGCCTATTTAGGGTATTAAGGGCTTTAATAGACCTTATATAATCCAATAACTGCACAGCCTCCATCCATGCTTTCCCATTGGTCTGCCTCTCTGGCCTTAACTCTATTTTCACCTTATCTCTCCCTGGGTCCAATATATAAAGAGCTTGTATCGAAGATTTCATATTTAAGAAAGATGTACCTTGCATTCTTGGTGGAAACTCTGGG